CCTTCTTTTTCAGACTTGCTATGTTATGCTTGGCAGATCGCTTATTTCATCTCTCTATATCTTATATCCTCTTATACTGAGTTTTCTCCTTTGTCTGTTTACACAGTCCAGCCCAGACTGATAAACAGGGATCTCTGGGTCCCCTTGTAGTACAAGAAGCTTTTGCTTATTGCTTCACATAAAGCTATTTGAGACATTTCCAATTTATATAACAGTAAAGTTAGGCATTACAAGTAAAATCTTTTCATTTAGGATACTTGTTAATTTAATCCAGTGTACATAAATCACCCTTATTAAATGACCCACAGAACAACGTATTGTCACAAACAGAAACGTTCCAAGCACTGCATGGTGGACAGGCAGAATAAGTATACAACACTGAGTATAGTGTTGAAGAAAGGGAAAACAAAGGGAAAACTCAGAGTGAAGTAGGGTTTTACATAAATGGGGGTTCACACAATCAAGAGTTCTTGAATCCAGGATAATGAATTAACCAGTTCCTTTCTGCAAGCTAAAATTAGTCTATTCCTTTTTTTGGCACTGACAAATTGATCTGTAGCTCAGCTTGTGCCAGGATTTTGTATATGCCATTTGGACCCATATGTTTTCCTCTTCATTTATGTGTCTTTGTAATCTTTCATCCTCTCCCTCAAACATATCAACCTATGCAGACATTCTCATAACTCTATTATGGGACTCCTGATTTTAGTAAGCGCTCTACAACTATAGATAACCTCTCCAAAGAGCCTCCTGGATTTAAGCCACTGTTACCTGAAGCAAGTACTCCATATAAATCCTTCTCAGCTTTATCAAGCACTTTTTAAAAAAATAGCAAAGTAATTGGTTCCCACTGCTTACTTCACTTGCTTATAGTCTTCCTGGAAATTGTCTCTGCTTTTAGATGCAGTCAAACATGTCTAAGAGGTTCTTGGGGTATTTTTGACATGTAAACTTGAAAGCTCTGTGGCCTTTATTTTAGCTCTGTTTATTTGGTGCAAGGATTTATCCTTCTGTGCTAGCAGATTAGAACAGTGACAGTAAATCAGCCATATAGATTAAATAGAATTTACAGTCTGATACAGCTACACATGGAAAGGCTGTCAGCATCCATAAACTGTACAAAAACAGATTCTGCAAATTCTCACAGCTGTTCCTGAATTTTGTCCACTGAATAAGTGTGGTTATGTCCTGATAGTAGGAAGTTTCATGCAATGTGTTTTTCCATAAGGTAAACTCTGGTTTTTTTAGAGCTGGGAGGTCTCCGTGTGGAATTCTAGCTAAGTCAAAAGCAGCAGTGTTGAGGATTCATTGGAAACAGTCAGTTTAATCCCCCAGCTAACACAAGCATGTTTTGTTCGATTCAGTCAAGGAATCCAGGCTTATGAAATGACCTTATAATGGTTTTTGAGGAATTGTTTACATGAGAGAATCAAGAGAGATGAAAAACAGAGAGAGTCGCTCTTCAAAAAATGGGCTGCATACAGGAAATAGGAAACGTATGTGTCAACTTTGCTTCCAAGTTCCAGCACTGACATGAAACAAGACATAATGAAGGCTGTTTTAGGGAAGAAGTTTCCACTTCTATAGGTTGAATTACGCATGGTGGCTAAGAGAAGGCAGCATAAGTGAAGCATTGTTAATAATAATGTTTTCGCTGTTTTTGCAATAATATTATTGTTGCAATTGATTAAGTGAAGTTTAATAACTGTGTGCAAGATTTCCCATTCCCGCTTCAGGACAAGAAAATGGTGTATGTATTGAGCTGTTTGTGCTCTCACCATTCTGTTCTATTTTGGTTAGACTGAAGCTCATATCCTGATCCTAAACTAGCCATAATATTTCATTTGCTTTTAATTACATTGAATTTCTCCACTAGTTGTAAGTGACCTGTCACTGCAGTTCATGAAATTGTTTTAAAGTATTGTCCTCAGTGGAATTGCAGAGGAGAGAAATGTTTTCCCATAGCTATACGCAATGATCAACTGTACCTTCCCACTTTATTAAAACATGCTGCAACATTCTTTAAAGAAAAACATAAGAGAGTTTTATGTTTTGAATTGTTAAATCCCAGTCCTGATTTACTTCCACATCTTTACCACTGAGCTTGAGAGAAGATTTGAACTGCTCATATGCCTTTTCATTTCACACTGAATTTATAGAAAGTTTCCAAATAATAACAGTCAACTTGGCAGGAATAAATGTAGACCAAATGGTGTAATCCCCACAAGGAAACATAATTCTCTTATGAAGTATTTACAATAGCAAGCTTGGAAATCCAACAATAGGTTATATTGTTAATAGATTGTTTATAGCATCTTTTATTGACTGATTCATTCCTAATGGCAACAGATTTAGTCACCTAACATTCTTCCTGTGGCAGGCAGTTCAGTGTTCACTGTTGCTTTAAGAATCCTCTCAGGGACGAGAAAGTTTCATTCTGACATAAATCAATAAATAGGACGTAAATAGGACCTTGCAAAGTTCAGAAGTTCCTTGAAATTTTACTGAACTTTCTGATGCTCCCTTCCTGTGACCTGCCAATAACCCTTATCTCTACTGCCTTCATGACCCTTTAATGTTTCCCTGGCTCTCCATTCCCTTCATCCTCCTAAAGAGCTTGGCTACTTCCCAACTTGGATTCATCCAACAGGCCACCCTCCTTGGAAACTCTCCCAGTCTTTGAAACAGCCTTGCAATACAGTAGCCTAAATACTAGTTTTCACATTTAAATTTCACATACTGCTGAACCTGTTATTTTGGTATCTGAACTAAAAATTCCAGTGCTACAGTTTTGTGTAACCGTCAACATACATTATATGCACCTGGCACACCTGATAGCTTCAGACATGAGGGAATACTGCATCCATACACTTTACTGTTTTTCAGCAGACTGCAGTTATCTAATACAGTTTTGCATGGGGTGTTAACTTTGAATGCGCAAATTATAGTAACTCTCAAGAATTTTATTTTTAACAGCTAACTACAACACACTTGCTCACAGAATTTGTTCCAGTACAAATCACAGACTGGATCTGATCTTCTTCACATTTTCCAGTTTGCCTACAAACAAATACAAGCTTCACAGGAATTTTTTTATAAAATAAGAAAGTATCCCAAGTGTGCCAGAAATATGCAGCTTTCTGAGTATTTAAGCAAGTAGTGTCAGTGCAGCAATCTAAATATTTTTGTTTGCCTGGCAAAAGGATGACTACTCATGTGAACCTGGTGACAACTTGTTTTTTCACTGTTGCCTCTGTACTTAAGATACCCCCCAGAATATTTCTAAGAGACTAGAATGAGCTCAGTTGCTGCTCAGACACAGACAAAGTTTAAGTTTGTGATTTCAAAGGTAATGACAAAACTGTGTCATTGCACTTGGGTATAGGAAAAGTCAGCCTGTGGGTTCAGAGGTGGAACAGAAAAGGGTGAAAAGACTGTTGAGTGGGAACAGAGTCTTCAGTGATGGCATGGCAAAAAAGCAGTAAAAAGATCCAGGTTGGATGGTTGCAGGAGAGGAAGTGAACCAAGACACCAAGATGACCAGTGTGGATATATTTGTGTTTTAGGAACCCCCTATAAGTTTGGAAGGATTGAGATAAAGTCTGGAATATTCAGTAAGGGCAAGATGACTTTAGCCAGATATATGTTCTATTACAGATAAAGTAGATTGTCCTTGGCAGTTACCTATCTATGCAATGTGCTAGTTTGTTTTTTCATTTTTCCAAGCAATTAAAACAGTAGCCTCCGCCATACATGAGTATGGTCTGAATTATATTTTCTTATCCTTGGAGGACCAGCACAAAATATTGTAATAAATGAACATTTAAGGGATAAAGCACAAATTTTTTTGTTTACAGGGGCAGACTGTACACTGAAAAACTGAAACATATTTAGCACTGTCTGGAAACTAAACAAATGCAGTGCCATTTTTCTCTCATCCAGCATGTGCTTCAGCCCCCAAAGCACCTCAGTAATCCTTATTAAAAAACATGCTCTGTTTCATTAATAACACTTTTGTACTGGGAGAATCAAGATTGGTCAGAGAATTTGAGACACCACTTCAAGTGCTGAATTAAGGGGCTTAATAATCTCCTTCAACCAATAGACTGACTGGGAACACTTTATAGTGACTGTCTGACTGTCCCTTTGTAGATTGGACTTTAACATCTCTCTACTGCGGGAAGTTTTCTTGTGTCTCTGAAGACAGGGAGATGATGTTTAAGTATCAACTTCAAAGGCTTATAAGTTGAAGACTGCCAGAAATACTAGTTCTATCAGTAACTGAAAATAAAGCATATTGATTATACACCAAACCACTTGCATCTTAACAGCTTCAGTTTGTGCAAACCCATCTGTTTTCATGTCCTTCATGACTTTACAACCACTGGGAGCAGAATTTCAGATTTACATTGTTCAGCTGCTCACTATGGATAAGAATATATTTGATGTTATTTATCTGCTATTTAAAAATATAAGAGATTAGTAAGTTCAGTTGTGCCTTGTGATAAACCAGTGGTTGGTAACCTTAACTAGAGAGAACATATTTATTAATTTGTACTAATTTCATTTATTTCAGGGTCCTGTAAGAACAAAAGACAAAAGAAAAACTTACAGAAACCCCCTTTCTCTACTGAAACAGCCACTAGGTTCAGTGTTCCAGCTTTGAAGTCCCTAATATATTTTGGTCCATGAAAATGGATTAAGAAGATGTAGAATCATTCTGAATAACTTTCCCAAACTCTTTATGCTTAGGAGAGAGAGAAGTTTCCTGAAATGTTATACCCTTTATGGAAACAAATGTCAAGAAAAAGAATGTGAACAAAACTTTTAGTATTCTATCAAGTGCTGAAGTGTCTCTAGCACCTTGCCTTTAGATCGTTTCACCATCTAATGTGCCAAATCTTCCCAGAAGTTTTCCCAAAGTAGAACATCTAGAAGCTGGAACCCAGTAAAGGTGACTAGTCACTGCAATAGTATCACAATAGTCAAATTGTTCAGACATGTCTCAGACACCCTTTGCTAGAAGACCTCCCTTCAAGGTATGTTACATCTGTGGCAGAGAATTTGGGTCACATTCTATTGCTATACATGAACCTAAGTGCCTAGAGAAGTGGCGCATTGAGAACAATCAGCTACCAAAGCACCTTAGAAGGCCAGAGCCCAGGAAACCTGAGGTCCTTACTGGTTGTGGTTCCTATACATTTACAGATGAAAATGAAGCAGCTTATTATAGTGCTCAAGCCCAGCTCGTGCCCTGTAGAAACTGTGGCCGAACCTTTTTTCCCGACCGTCTCCCTGTGCACGAAAGGTGTTGCAAAGGGGGCAGCAGCCGTGCAAGGCAACCAAGCGCTACCGCTGGTAAATGTGGTAAAGCACCAAGATCTGGAACTGGCTCAGAAAGTGGTGAACCATCTAAGGCCCGTCAAGGAATGAGCAGGGCTGCACCAGCTGTATCAGACCAGGTAAATTGCTAAGCATGTGCTATGTGAAAGGGTGTGTATGCATCTTAATGCTTGGCACTCCAGGGGAGACTGGCTTGCCATCAAATTTAAAATCAGTTTTCTTCAGAAGCACCTTTTTTGCTCCATGCAAATGTTTTTCTGCTAAGTAGAAGATAAAAGAGAAATACTGGGAACGGAGTAAGGGAAACTACTTATTCCTATTTATTTTGATTCTTGTTTTGAATGGGAATAGTTGAGTTCTCTGTTGTCCTTTAAGAGTTATATCCCCAAGAGGGACCATTGCTTGATATAGTTCTCTAGGAGATTCTATTGAGCACCTTAGGCAAGGTTTGGATATCATATGTTTTAGGAGATGTTAGGTATTTTTATTTACTTAACATGAAATGCAATGTTTCATTGTCCTGCAAGCATGCAGCACTTCAAAACATGATTTTCATATTTTACTGTTATTCTTAACCTTGGCATGCAACATGAGTTTACTGAGGACTGCATGTTCAAAGGCAGCAGTTCTGGATATAACAACAACAAAATAAATAAGACTGCACATTTTTTTCCACTGAATTTGATTCAGGATCCAAGAATAAAGAAGCTGATTCACATTATCCAAAAGCTACACAGAGTTTTGGAAAATGGGATTTTTTTTTCTACATTTGTTTCTGCACAAGCTGTCTTTTGGCCAGGAGTTTTGTAAGATAGATGTCTAAATTTATGCTCAGTGTCCAAATTAAATGGCCTTTTTTTTTTTTTTAATGTGGGTTGGAATTCTGATTGCCTACACTACTTTTGAAAATGGGATTTATCTCTCAGTTGCCAAAGGAATGCAATACTATGCAGAGCATTTCTTAAGATGCTTTAGAAGGCAAAGTATGTAACATGTTAGTTTACCAGCTACTGAGTAAAATTAAAATAATAGCATTACCCTAGCTCACGTGAAACTAAAGACTTCATGAGCGCTTTGTTTATTATGCTATATAAGGCCACTAATTGATATATTTTGGCAATTTAAGGTTCACTTCTCAGGTCTTTTATCAGCAAATTTTACGTAATCCACAAGCAGTTCAAAGTGCTGCACAGCTGCATTTATAGCTATAGGAAAAGTGATGTTGTTTACATTGTGCTCTTTCCCAAAGAACTCTCATTGCACTAAAGGTGATTTTTCAGTGAAAGGCGTGGGTGTGAAGCAGAGAGTTTAATTTATCACATAATTCTATAGAATAAAAAAGAGAGGGTGAGGGCAATTTTCTATAGTTATGATACCACTGAAAAAAAGAAAAAAAAAAAAGAACTTCAGAGTGTGGTTTGGCACTGACAGTGACTCTGTAAAAAATGTTACCCTCTTGCACAACGTATCTGCTCCCTTTGTGGATTCACTCACATCTGCTGACTTGTTGAACAACAACATTATCACCACTTTTTACTTCTGTGAGCTCTGCAGAGCCAAAATGAAATGTGTTCAAATCTGTTCTTCCTTCTGTGTGAACAACAGGTTTCCTCATTTACTTCCAAGCAGTTACAGTTCATCAGTTCAGCAGCAGAACTAATGAGGCTGTACAGCTTGCAGTTTGCAATTGACTTTGAAGGACTTTATTATTTGACTTTCTGGAAGGGATAATGGATTTTACCTCTCTGGGGTCTATTACTGTATTATTTTTAGAGCTGTTCTTTAGTACAGAGTTACTCATAAAAGGTAAATATGAGATGGGAAGATTGAAAGAAATATCCTGTGATCCAAAGGTGTTCTTCAGGACTCGCAGGCAGCCTATAAGAAGTTGTCAAAGGAAACCACTTTCCTGTAGGTTTAAATTCTCTGTGAGAAGATCTTCATTTTCAGTTGAACATTTTGAAAGGTCCACACATTGAAGGGTGTGGAAAAGCATGGAGGTTATGGAATAATTGCACATTAGTTATGAACAGGGACAAGGTTTGTGTCTCTGCTAAAGTCTTCCTCTTTTTCCAGCATATGGTTTTAATTTTGCTCACCTTACCAGCTGCTCAGCTGCTTATTAATTCTGTTAAAATATAGTGCTTCACTAGTGGTGGAGTGAAATGGCTACTGTTTTGGTCCTGGCTGGGAGGCATTTGGGGCAGTTCCTATCTCGTCTTACAGATTTACTCATTGTGACAATGAATTGTTTAAGTTCTTGCTTAAAGTCCTGATTCAGCAGAACATCAGAGGAAAGAAATAACTTAAAAATATTACGTATTAAATATTACCCTTATGTAAGTGTATTTAAGAGAGGTATTGTGAAACAAATTTATGCAATGAAAAATGCCTGAAATGAAAAAACTGTATTTTCCTCGTTTTCAAAATAAAGTTTTGACTGATTTTGTGGTACATCATGTAAAGTGTATTTTAACTTTACAACTGCAAGCACTTCTCCCTGTATGCCTCTGCCTGTATGTCCTGGAGTTCTGTCCCCTTTAGCAAGTGTTGCATCAGCTAGGCCAGTGTCATTACTGACAAACTCTGTTCTGCATTAAATGTCTTTAGAGGTGGAGACTAAACCACCTCTGTAATCTGTCTTTTCCAGTATCTGTCCTCTCTCTCAGAATCAATGAACACATTTGAGTTAATCATGTCTGACTGTGTAAAACAATAGCCTGTGCTTAGAGATTCTCAAGGGTCATCAGCTCAGAAATTCTGCTTTGGATTCTGCTGTGATACCGCAAGTAATGGAAGTGGTGTCTGCATGTACTGGAACTCAGATGTGCACTAAAAGAATCTGTGTTCTACTGTTTCGTAGACAAAAATGTGTGATACGTGTAAGTGAGCGTCAATAACTTGCCGTGTGTATATGAGTTATGGGGTTTTTGACAATAGATAATGCTGATCTTAAAAGCCTATTAGATGGTGCTGCCATCTGCTGTTTTCTTCTTATCTGGTTAACTACCTAAAAAGATTTCACTCATCTTTCTTTGCTGAATTGTAATGCATTTTAGCACAGTGTAAGTCTTGAAAATTTGTGTAGCAAGAACATAGATGTTGTATTTTGCTGTAGCATAAAGTCATGTAGCATCTTGGTAAAGGGAAGACTTCTTCAGGTGCAGTATAATTCTAATGAAGATGGAAAGTAAATGATGCGCTTTTTTTGCCTCATTGCAGTAGTTTTGAACACCTTCGTAGGAGAGTACTGACAAATAAATTTGCAAATATAGAAAGTTAGATGAGAATGGACAGTGAATGGATGGTTTGAATGAAGCTTAGTGAGTATTATCATTGTGAATGACTGGGCTTCCTTCCTTTGCTTGTACATGGATGCCATATTTATTGTACTGACTTACTCAATTTAAAAAGAAAGCACATCAGGAGCAAAATGGGATATTTCATGCTTCCAGTGGAGTAATATTTTTAATTATATGCATCATCTTGCAGAATTACCTTGCTCTTCAAGGAAATTCCCTACATGAGCATATGGTCCTAATGTAAGTGCTGTTGTGTCAGATTCAGAGATTTGGTAGGCTGTGAAGTGCAGCTTTGGATAGTCATGAGAACCATGCTATACCTTGTCTGTGATCCTTATGTAAAATGCCTTATACTTGGCAGAGAGGAATGTGTGGAGAGGCCTGCTTTCATACAATAGAATGCTGCTGCTAAATGCTCGTACTGATCTTTTCCCGAGCCTCTAATCCTTGGGCAATGCAAGTCTATGACAAGAGCTCCGTCTCAGAGCAGGATGCCCCGCCTCTTCCCATTAAAATACATGGATAATTAAACAAATAAAAAGGGCAGAGCTGTGTGCAGTCCTGGATGATAAATATTTATGTAGGGGAGTTTGGGATTCAGTCTTATTGTGTGTACTTAGGAAAAATAAAAAGCTTTGTGCAGTATGGAAGGATTTGACCTCATGTAACACCATAACAGCAGCCTGGGGCTAACCTTAAGTAATGTCAGGTTTATTGAAAATACATAGTTGCATAGCCCTCGGAGCTAAATAACTTCATTCATAGTCACGCAGACATACTTAGCAGTCTTGGAGTAAAAAAGAAAATACTGAGACACCAGAGGAAAGCCTAACTACACTGTTAGGTATTTGTAGGTATTTTTATAATAACACATATCCTCAGGAACAGACCTTCCCTACAACCCTTTTTTAAAGTTAAAAACAAAGCAGTGAACAGACAGCCCAGCCACTGGCCTGTGAGTAGTTTGGGTTGGAAAATTGCGGTGTTTCCAAAAATAGTTTAGTTTCAAACTGCAGGCCTCCAGATGTGACATTTGGGAGAGGAACACTGAAAATAAAAAGAAATGAAGGGTAAATATCATCAGCTGTAGAACTTCCAAGTCAAGCTTATCATATCTTGGATTCCACAGTTAAAAAAGAAAAATCTGTTACTACCAATTATTAGGCTAATCTCTTTCAGGTTTTAAACATGTGTGCAGAGAAGAATTTGTGTATATAATTGTAGGTGTGGTGATGGGTCAATCTCATGATTTTTCTGGAATAAAAATAATTCTATCCTAAGAGTGACCTGATTCCTCTAAATTAATTCTGCTTTCTCCTGATGTTTCTGTACCATTTTCAACTGTGGAAATCACAAAAGACAGATATTTCTACTTGAAAAAAATTATTTTTCCTATTCTGTTAGTATATGAAGAGTCCTTACAAACTGAATGTAAATCAAATTGCTCTTCCCTAGTTTGCAGCCAATAAGTTCCCATTTAAATGAATAGCAGGAACCTAGCTAATGAGAGCATACAGGGAAAGTGTGTTCTCAGTGATTTTACACCTAGCATGTTTTTAAGAAACCATTACTAAAATAGTATAACCATACCCACAGCAGGCATGCCCACTAAAAAGAGTTCTCTTGCCTCAGGAGTTTAGATTGTAGTATCCTCATCTAAAGCTCTCCAGAGCCTACAAATAAACATATACTGTGTTCAGAAGACTTTGTATCTGGACCCAGAGTCCTACTTCAAAATCAGACAAGTTCTAGCTCACAACTTCAAGTAAAGAAGTAGGTGAAATTTGATAATGAAAAGTTATAAGGTGTTTTTAAAGCAGCTGTTGTTGTATTCATCTTAAAAATAGGAAAAGAAAGCTGTATTTTTATGTATATTAGAAAATATGCTTATATAAAATAGTGTTATCAAAGATAGTAAAGAAATTCCATTTGAAAGTCAAGAGGATGAAAATGTCCTTGGAGAGCCTGTCTTTGGATGTTGTATTCCAAGACACTGTGAGAACTTTCCAGATGATGTCCAACTTTTCCCAGAAAAATACACTTTACAGAGTAGTATTTCTTTCATGTAAGTGAGATTACATGTGTGATACAGGAAGGCAGTCTTATGCAGATTGTTCACTAATGACATTTTCAGACTGTAACATAAATACAAGAAGAGCTGCCCAGGATTTTGTGAACACATTGATGGGCTGACAGACAGAGTCATAAATTTGGGAACAGGTTATGCTTTGTCTTACACAGCAGCAGAGGAAAGAATGAAACCCCCACCACTCTTGTTTGAGTGAGAAAGGTTTCCCGTATTTGGTCTGGCATGGCTGTCTGTCTAACTTGATGAGGGCAGGGAATAGCTCATCTCTTACTGGTATTCTGCAGTCAGAAGTGTAAGAAGTGCTGGCAGTTGTGAAACCCATCTGTGTGCCTCAAAGTTCTTCTCTACAGCATGTTTTTATCCTGCTTCCTGGAGCACGGCTGGTACTGACACCACGCCTAGCCCAAGACACGCCTAAGAACACTGCTGAGTCCATAATCTGCCATACCACAGTAATTATACACTTTTTCAGCCTTAGATTATGTCTTTGTGAAGTTTGGGGTTAAGGAATCTTTTTCTTCTGTTGTTGAGCTGTTTTTCTCTGTGAAGAAATGCAGATCTTTAGTGTGGAAACAACTACTAAAGCTTTAACTAAAGCTTTCTTGGAGTCCAGTTCTGCCCTTTCTGCAGTAACTGGCAAAGTTGACACTAAGGCCTTTGGGACAAACAAACAGCAGTTCCTATTTTGCCCCTCATCCTGAAATATCCTGGATTGTTTTTAATCTTTGAAGGCCAAGAATTCTACCAGCTAACTGATCTGTGGCAAAAGTGGGGTAAAGAATCACAATCGCCTCTTGGGAGAGCTGCCCAGATTAAGAGAGATACTAAGGATGGACGCAGCACTTTGAGTTGTGTTCTGATGGAAGATGGAGTCTTTCTGTTACTCAAAAGTTCAGCTGATGAAGCTTTTGTTGCTGCTTTCCATTTTACTTCTGCTTTGTAAGTAAAAAATGGCTTGAGCCATTTAAGGTGGATGCTGCATTGCAACCCAGTGAAGCAGACATGTTTGTTTCTCCATGTGAAGACAGCATTTTCATGAACTATGAAAATAAAAGAGCTGAAACTTAATATAGCTAAGAATTAGCTGTATTAAGTCACACACATGAAATTTCAGCCCAGCATCTGCAGAAGAATCCTGCCTGTTCCAGGTGCCCAGTTAATGAGGCAATATCTATTGCAAGCCTCAGGACTGATTCCAAACAAAACCAGACTGAAATAAACAGTTACACAGATTTCACAGATATCAGGTTCCTTATCTACACGATTGCTTTCATACAAAGTCATTCTGACTCAAAATTAATATTGAAAACAATATTTCTTCTTCTTCACCGTTGTTATTTGCAGGCAAAAGTGATAAGACGACCACCAACAGTGATTTGCTACATATGTGGCCGTGAGTATGGAACAAAATCCATTAGTATACATGAGCCACAATGCCTGAAAAAATGGCACCAGGAGAATGACAACCTCCCCAAGCACTTGAGAAGGCCAGAACCCAAAAAGCCAGAAGTCAGAACTGTGCAAGGTAAGTTACAGACCAAATTAAGAGAGATGAGCAAAATAGTGTGAGGAATTGAAAAAGATAAAGCAACAGGTAAACAGTTTGCAAGTAATTTGGTCTCCAGTTTACTTTCAAGACCTTGTTCTGCTTCACAGAAGGAAGGCTTAAAACAAGGTCTTGAAATTAAAAGTAGTCATTATCTATGGAACATAGATAATGTCCCACCTGGGACATTCCCCTCTATGTGCCAATGTGTCCTGAATCAAAACACAAGTAGATTAGCAATCTGCTTCATAGCTACATTACTACTTTTTGTCTTCTTTTAACACTGTAGACAAGCATTTCTTAAAATGAGCAAAAACATCCAAGAATAATGTGCAGACATGACACAGAGTCATTAAAATAAAATACCCTCAGGCAACATTGGTGTAGATACTTCAGCCAGATTCTTCTACAGTCAACAGCCCGTTGATGTTATTGATGCCTTTTAATTTACAAGTCTGAGAAGCTTCCATTGTGAGACAGTGTAATATAAACACAGTGGAGAAAAAATATATGTAGTACAAAGTAAACAATTTATTTTCGCCAATTTTACGTGTTTGTGCTATGGGTTCTTCTTTCTAAGATTCTACTTCTTTAAATCAATGAACACTGATGATCCCCAGAACCCACAGAGGTGGGCTGTCATATGTATCCCAGAGTCGTATGTTCACTGTAGGATGAAAAGGAATTCCTATCCATCCAGCCTGGAAGCTGTTCCCAGGACTTCCCTATTCCCACATAAAGTTATTTCACCTTTCCTACTGGATGCTTTCCCTGGCCCTGCCAGCTGGTCTGAGCTACTTTGAGCCAAGTTTGGACCACTTCCTCACAGGCATTTAATTCACACACACTTTTTTTTATATTCCCCACAATTTCCCTCAGCTTCCCATAATGTCTGGAAAAGTAGACAAAGTCTCCTACAACTCACTTGTGAAAGAGTCATACACTAGATCAGTTTACAGCAGTACAAAGAAATATGTCCTCAGAAGACATGCAGAGGAGAGCAGGATCACTGAGAACACTTACCAGATGTTCAAAATAATAAAGTCCAAATAATATAAAATCAGAACTTGGTTAACAGATGCCAAGTGGCATAGTTGAATCTGCAGTAAAAGATGCATTCAAAAGACGTCTTCATTGTATTTGCTTTTTTAGATGTTAAGGACTTTTTAATTATTACACATTGTGTGGTAAAACAGATGGAGAAAATGAGAATTCCATATGAAAGAGGAGGATGCAAAAAGGCAAATCAGGTTATTTTGAAATTCACTATTCTTATTTTGAAGGAGTGGAAGCAGAAAGTCAACCACTCTTTGAGAAAACAATCTAGCAGAAGGCTCCCAGATATGAATCAGAAAGTTGTCTCATTTACTCAGTGAGTCATATCAGGCGCCTCGCATCTCCTGTGAGGTGTTGTGTGCCCACGGTTCCTCTGGGGATACTGACCTGCTTCCAGCATCTGTCCCTAAATGCCTGCTGATGCAAGCCTGATCAGTTATTTAGCTTGAGCTAAAAATGTTGTTCCCCCTGCAGCTGCCTCACACTCCTGGCCTTGAGAAAATAATCTCAGTGTTGTTCTTTTTCCATAAGACTTACTCTTGATCATGTGGTGAATGCTATAACTGACCTTCAGACCACATGCATGTACTGCATGTCTCACAGCTTCTCAGCTCGGGGTGGGAGGGATTACCCCTGTTGTTGAATTAAATAGACAATGTTCAAAAAAAACTCAGAAATATTAACTGCTTACACAAAACTTTTTTATAACTTACATAAATCTTTTTCTGAAAACTCAAGTGTAACAGGAAGACAGCCACTGCCCTCATTACTCAGTGTTTTGTTTGTAGAATGCCTAACACATGCCTGCAAGGAGAAAGTTATCTCTCTTTCTCCCTCTCTTTTTTTTTTTTTTTAATATTCCATAAACTTTCTAAAGTACAGAAAATACACATTCATTTCCTGCAAGCAAAGGGGATATTTGTCTCAGCCAAGAAAAGAAACACTACTTGGTTGCTCTTCTAACAAAAAGAACATTAGGAACAGGCATATTAAGAGATCTAAGGCTTATTGTGGTTATGTGAACCGTTGGATATGAATCATATTAAAATTGTATGGGCCTTTAATGAAGAGCTCTATCATGTGCCAATGACAGAAACCATGGAATATTTTTAAATGCAAAAATCCTTTTCTTTTAAAAATTGTCCACTTCTAGCAGTTCAAAGAAAAAAAACAGATTTTAAAATCTTTTTCTATATTGTCATACCAAATAAGAAGGGTGAAGCAAATACGTCTTCAATTTGAGCCATGTGGATGTTTTTCTGCATGCACTTCAAATGAAAATCCTTAAGATCTAAATCCAGGTATTAAGTAACCTGCCTGGCCTTTTTGCAAATCAGTTTGAAACAACACTATGTGAAAATCCATTACAGAAGGAAAGTCCATTTCAAGATGAAAGTAAACAAGATTTTTTTTTTTACCCAAATCAAAGCTTGAAATGAAAACATCTGAATGTTTGAAGACTGCTCCTGAATTTTCAGAGCAGTCATTCTTCCTGCAGTGGAGAATAACTGAGGGTAAGGCTGGATTAGTGTTTAGATGACAATAGATGTATCGGTGCAATGACCTCACTGGAAGTTGTGGCATAAAACTACTGTAGGTTTTATCTGTAAGGTTTTAGGTTTTATCTAAGATTTACTCCACTTTTTAGTATAACTTACACAGACTCCAGCAGGAAGAAAATTGGGTCTCTTGTCCAGAGCAATACAAAGAGCATATTCTCAAGTACAATACACTTCCACCCATAGCCATGGTCAGATAACACATGCTTGTTAAACAGAGCTTGAAGCAAAGCCAAAAAGTGAATTTGCTGATATTAGGATGCATGCAAAGATGTTAATAATTAGCTGTGAATGCAGATCATAACACACAGCGTGATGTTTTCTCTGTACTCATACAATACAAAATGATTCAGTTTGAAGTTAATTTAATTCAACCCCTGGGACAAAAAACAGAGTCTTTTTAATATATTTTTTACTCTTTTGCTTCTTTCTTTTCTTTTTCATTTGCAAAAGCAATATGGTTTGGTTAAACTGAAAGGCTCAGTCAACAGGTATTTCCTGAAAATATTTTCCATAAAGAGTTGAATGTGGGTCTCCAGAATGAAAGCTGATACTTTCTTTTTCTAATTTTCCAGCCAAAGGTTTCTATGATCTTGATGCTTTAAATGAGGCTGCCTGGACCAGCGCCCAAGCCCAGCTAGTTCCATGTGATATTTGTGGGCGTACTTTTCTTCCAGACAGACTGATTGTCCACCAGAGGTCCTGTAAACCAAAACCTGCAAAGTGAAGTGGATATAACACACTTGCATACAAGTATGCTCACACGTACACAGGCAGACACACACATTTATCCTAAGCTAATTAAAGTGTGTGTGTGTGTGCGCACGCACATGAATACATACACATGCAGCCGTACCTTTCAGACGAACCATGAAAGAAATAAAATTCATCTGGAGAGACATGGTCATCAAAACTTAATTGTGTAATGATATCATATGCTCCAAAACTCTCCAGAGTGAAAATCAGTAGTTGCTACTAAAGTGTAAAGTCAAATACAGAATACAGTTCTTTGAAAATTTTGCTTCTCCTCTTTCAAAGACTCTCTGGTTAGTGTAAGGACCTTTAGCCAAACTTGACTAATCGGAGAAACCAAGTAGCTCCTTTAAGTTTGTTCATTTTTGTTTGGGTTTTCCAGATCGTTTTTTTTTGTTTGGAGCACTCCAGTGTTCACATCCTTGTGTAACTGGATCTCATGAAACCCTTGACTGCTACAAGTGAAACCTTCCCATGTAAAGGGGTCCAGTTATGTGGTAGAAGCAGACACAGGCTGTTTTTAAAAAACACCCAGAACTGCCTTCTTTTTGTTTAAGAGTGATACAGACCATCTGATTTATTCTCATCTCAGTAAACTGATCATGCCAAAAAATTTATACGTCAGGGAAGCATGTCTTGGTTATGAATGTTGTAAAAGAAAACATTTTAATATCAAGACAAAATAAGCATGATGTGCCAGATGCCTGGCATTAAATATCACCCTGCCCTCAGTACCAAATAGGAGAGAGCCAGTGGTGTCTGGAAGGGTGGGTATTACACAAGAAAGCCATGGGGAAGGTGTTTGGAGGTGCTGTTTTGAAAAATGCTGTTACATTATGTAGAGGAAAGAGTGCCAAAACACATCAGTATAGGAATAGGCTAAACACATGAAGGAAGTAATAGTCCCTTTTACAAGGTACTGCAGAGAGCAATTATTATTTTACTTACTCTGAAGCATTTTATTAAGTGGTGAGGTTATTCAAAAGGTATGACAAAATCCAGTACAAGTTGTGAACTAGCAATCTAAGCTGCCTGATATCAGGAAAGAAACTGTACCTTATGTATGGGCTTAAGGTCTAGAGTTGTCTGTTATGTATTATGCGATTGATGTGACTTTTCTCAGAGCATTCACACTTACTATTGCACTTACAAATCAGAGGAAGTGAATGCTTTCATACACAGTAAAATGAAATATGGGTACCAACAACTTTTCTTTTCCAAGCTATCAAGTTGTGTGATTTGTGGAGTAAGTGAAACAAGAAGTATTATCTTTGTTCTGTTATTAGAGAAATGCTCCTGGCTTCAGCCCTGGCAGGCTGTTAATTCAGACTGGAGAAGTACAGGCATTCTTTGGTGAAAATAATTCCCAAAACAATCAGTGGTACCTCAGCAGCCCTTTCATCTTTGGAATGAGGATTGTATGGTCTGAAGATAGATATCTTCAGGAGTCAAAGGTTCAGTTTCTGTTCTACAGAACAAAGCTGTGTAAACCATGCAGATCTGTTCTTAGTGTCTCCAGTGTAAGAAGAGGTGCTGTTGGAGCTGGACCAGCGCTACCCCTCCTCCCTTTTGGCTGGGAGAAGGCATGTGGCCTGAGGACAGAAGAGCAGGGGGACTCGTTCGTGATTGCTAGGCTGGATCCTGGGAACTGCTGGCTGGCAACATACACTGGGAGCCCCTGAGGCTGTTCTAAGTCACACCAAGTGCTGGTCCACTGACAAGTGGTTTGGTAATTGGAGGATTATGGATGGCCTACCATCTCACCTTTGTGTCCCCTCCTCTTCTTGGAATACTCTCTTTTCTTAGATACAGTAAGCATTTTTTTGCTACATCTACCTCATTGCGTCGTTGAGATTCACTACATCTACTTCAAAAGCAAAAACATATTTTAAGGAAATTAAGCCTTTGCAGTCACTGCAGTGATTTGCATTAAAAATTCAGCTCTGCCTCTTGGTGGGATTCTTATTTTGGAGTCCCTGTGTTATTCTGAAAGTTGGACATAGTGTCTTCATGATTTTAAATCTGTCAGAGATTTCACCCAGGAGACTTATTCTGTTTCATTGTCAGCTCTACACGTGTTTATTTTTTGGTTTCTGGAATTTTTTCCCAAAAAGCAGTAAAATTTGTCTGATGAGCTGAATGTTTATGAATAATAAAAAAGTGCCAATATTAAGTGTATATTGTGTCTTACCCAGAAGTACCATTGTATGGGAACTCCTGAAGCTATAAGCCTAGAGTATATTTTCCGCATCATCTTCTAAAAAGGAAATGAGGATCTGACAAATTAAGAGCTGTCTCTGCTAGGAGGTGATTGCTGGTGAGTTCTGAATTTAATGTAGGATTTGAGAAATAGTGAGCCTTACCACTCACGGAGTCAAGTCAGCATTGGGTGGTGAGGGCTGATGGTGAGACCAGTGCATGCAGAAGCTCAGCTGAAGCCTACAGCCCTCAGTAAGATCTCAAGGGTTGTAGCATTCAATTCCCTCCACAACTTCATGGGAACAATGAGTTCCAAAATATGTAGAAATAAAAAAATCACTGACATAGGAGTGCATATTGCTCCATTTCAGACTGTCACTCACATCCCAAAGTTGTTCTGTCACAAGCTTTTCTGCTGAGCTCACCAGCTCTGGCGTGTGTGCCAATGATGATGGTGATGATGATGATGATGATGATGAGTTCAAAGCAAGCTTTGTATACTGGGAGAAGCACTGAGAGTGCCTGCATGGTTTGCTCTCAACAGAGTTAAAATTAGATCTTATGGGCATTTCTCGTTATTGCTTGCCATGTGTCATTTAGACTTCTTTTGCAGGAGAGGAAAAGGAAATGAGAAATTGAGCTACTTTGCTTCCTTTGTTTCCGTACTTTAGTGATTTGTCATTTAATGTTATCTCATCCACTGTTGGGTCAATGTTATTTCCAGCTAAATCCCCATGTTTCCTACTGCCACTGCACATTTAAAGAGCTGAAAAATATCTTCTGGTACTTCAAAACCAATGACATTTCATCTAGTTTCCCACAGTTGTGCTGATGGCAGCTAAAACTATTTCTGGACAAATTATACAGAAAGTCAGGACATGGATTGAGAAAGTTCAATCACATTAAACAAATGAGCACGCACTTTCCCATCATGAATAAAAGCCATGACTTATGTTTCAATTCAGCCATTTGAACCTACCAGTTTCAAATAAAAAATGAGACATTTTATAAAAGCAAATCAGAAGATCATAGTCAAGCTAGAAGAGTTTAACTGCAGATGTAAAAAACTGGGCATTAATGAAAGAATAACTGCAGTTAAGTGTTATATGTAAAGTGTTATAATTTATGAGTTGGGAATGTCACAGTTACCATACAAACTTCAGAAGGTCCTGCATCTTTAAGGGCAGTAGGTAAAAATGCCTAATAGGCCTGAACAAGTTTCATGGACTCTTTTCTTAGGGACTACTAGGAGTGAATAGACCACAACTTGAGGAACAAAAACATTTGTAAATGTAATGTCAGTTTCTAATTAAAGATAGTGAGCACTTATATGGATCTGTGATTTCTCTGTGCAGGCCACAGACCTAGTAAGCATATAGCACCATGTAGAAATGATGTTTTCAGTATTGACTACAGACAATTTGAATGCTTAAGCTTTAGTCCAGGACTTGTAAACCCACCATGCTGTTACTGTTTATTCCTTGGTCAATATCATAACTGACATACACAGAGTATTGTTGGCTCTGGAGCACTCAATGATTATGTACTCCTCCTAAATATATATTAAAAAACTTCTGTCATTTTCAGTTGAAGAAAAAGTTTTGTAATCTTCTTAGAGTTGAGAAGACGGAGTTCAGAGCAGGAAAATGACAAGTGAGACTCCAGGAGGCCAGACTGTTTAACTTCTCAAAAAAACATTGAGCCCTGATAGCCTGTACATATCCAGATTAAAGACACTTCTTTCCAGAAGAAAACAGCTGAACAATTTCCAAGCAGGAATTTGTTGCTAGTCAAATTCATAAGTAAGAAACCCAGAATTTACAGTTTACTGAGATTATCAGTTGATTATCTATGGCAGGATTTGGCAAACAAATTTTAATTTGTTTAATTTTAAAACAAAACTATGCATAGGCATAGGTCTAATATTAATAAATTTAAACTAGCCTTGTATTACAGTATTGCCTGTAGAATACTGGACTCTAAGGTTCTTCCAGATTATCATGAAATATAATAATTGACACGTATTTTTCAGGACAGAAAACAGAAGTTTAAGAAAAATATTGCAAGTAACTAATGGTATCTCTGGGTTAGGTATTCAAGAATTCAAAGGTAGCAAGTAAAAAAAGGAAACTGAAAGTTGGATGTATTTTAAAAACAATGCCATCTCTTCAAGAAAGTGGGCCTGCCATGAAACATGTAAATAACAAGAGTGAACTGCTTCTTGAGGTAAGAGTGTTTTAACTGGCTTAGGATTTGTCCCTGTATTTGGAAGCTGAATCAGACTGCCAAGTCAGATTGTGATAAGGAGGTATTTAGAGCAGCAGTGAGAGATCTCTGGACAAAAAAATTGAAGATACAGTCTCAAATGGAAGATAAACTGCCAGTCTCATCAGAAAGAGGAAATTTATTTCAAAACAATTAAGTGCCTTGCCTTCCTTACTTTCTCTGGCACCTTAAAGGGAAAAAGATTTACCTAGGTTAGCTCACAGGACTTGTAAATCTAAAGTTAGGAAACAGACTCTTTCGGGTTAGTTTCACACTTTATTGTAATATATCCAATCCAAAACAAGTCATACCTACTGCTGTCTATTTATACCAGGTTTAAAGGCTGGAAAGATGTAAAATAAGAGCTCTGCCAGATATAGCTTGTGATAAAAGCAGATTTCCAAAACCTCTTTCTCCAGTCACTCCATCTTTGTAACAAATGCTGGTTTGTTAGCCACCATAGCTTTCCCTGTAGTTGTTTTCCTCCTTGTTCCCTGCTTTACCTTTAAG